CCAAATAGTCACAATTTAATATGGCATCTCTCGTAAAAAAAAACCTCATCGGATAATCCACCCCAAATGCCACCACGACAATGACATTCATTTGTTCGAGCTTAGAAAAGCTTAGTAGAAAAGCCATGTTGTAACTAAAGTGACTAAAGTAGAATCCAGCCATCTTTAAAATGATAGTTAGTTAGAGGTTTTAGGAAGGGCACCTGGAGTAGCATGAGCGCACAACAAATCGAGAGATATTTGTGGAGAAAGAAGAGAAAAAAAAATCTGGAAATAATTAAAAAAAAAATGGTGGGGATAAAAGCATTCCCAAAGCATCAGACTTATTTCCGGATGTTTTCTGAAGACGATGCATGATCTAGAGTAAATATATGGGTCTATTTGTGTTGTTGTGTTGATGTTTCAATTCTTTTTATTGCTAGCTGGGTTAATACGACACTTGTTTTGCATCTTTAAATGTCATTCCAACAACTGTGCAATTGCCGTTTTCCATAGCAGGCAAATTTACCAATGCTTTACCTGTTATTTCTTTAATTTTTGCAGTCCCTTGATTCCCTTACTAAATTGTTTTCATCAGCTGGGCCCATCAGTCAAAGAAACAATTTTAAACAGAGACAATGAGAAAATTAGTGCATCCTTTTGATGGGAGCAGAGAGGATTACAGGAACAGTATCTGAAAAGTTAGATTTTCAGAAAAGAGTGGGAAGGAAATGATTGATTGATTGAGATTTTCGTCAGATAGGTGTTTGAAAATTAGGGAGAACCTGCATCAACGTTTGAATATACTTTAGGCACGCATTAAGCTCTATAAAAAGGCCAACGTTTTAAAATTGTGCTCTCTTTTTCAGTTTCTGATCACAGCGTCTGAGCCAAAACTGCTGAATCTCCTAAATATTGTAGCACTTGTTAAACTAAATGTGTTTCAGCAGTTTTCGGCAGTCAGTTCTCAGCCTTTGAATTAACTTTTATAAAGAGAGAGGTGAGATCCGACAGTATCGAGGCTCAGATCAGACAGATCTAAGCTTAACGTACTGTTTAAAAATTGAATTGCAACCATCTGTATTAACGGGGTTTTAATAGTTGAAAAATGCAGAATGATGGTATGGTTTTGAAATTTCAGCAGCTTGGCACGTCCATTAATGTTTTCTCTAATATTTAAAATTATGGATGCCGATCCAGACAGGAAATACGATCATTATATTCTGGGACTCACCAAAATTAAATGGACAGAGCTTTGAGTGTAGCTACCATCTTACCTCTTTGTGTGTCATTCCCTCTAGACAGCCCTGCCAAGAGCAGTTGTGTTTGGGAAAAGGAAATATGGATATTATGGTGGAGTGTCAGAAGCAGGAAGATCTTTAGCATAAATTTTAGAATAGAATAGATAGAATAACAGAGTTGGAAGGGACCTTGGTGGTCTTCTAGTCCAACCCCCTGATCGGGAAGGAGACCCTAGACCATTTCAGACAAATGGTTGTCCAATCTGTTCTTAAAAACCTCCAGTGTTGGAGCATTCACAACTTCTGGAGGCAGGTGGTTCCACTGGTTAATTGTTCTCACTGTCAGGAAATTCCTCCTGAGTTCCAGGTTGCTTCTCTCCTTGATGAGTGTCCATCCATTGCTTCTTTTCTTGCCTCCAAATCCTTTGGAGAATAGCTTGACCCCTTGTTCTTTGTGGCAACCCCTGAGATATTGGAATATTGTTGTCATGTTCCCCCCTCATCCTTCTCTTCATTAAACTAGACTTTGTTGAACACACGGCCTGTATGATTAAACTTGTTAAAGAGTGGCCACATTTTTGAACCATCCGGAATTCTTTTCATTCATTAGGGATAGAAGGATCACGTGAAATGTTAATACCACTTTTTGATGCCTTGGAATACAGTATGTTTGTTTGTTTGTTTGTTTGTTTGTTTGTTTGTTTGTTTCTTTCTTTCTTTCTTTTCCTTCCTTCTTCCCTCCCTCCCTCCCTCCTTTCTGCTTCCTTCCTTCCTTCCTTCCTTCCTTCCTTCCTTCCTTCCCTTCAGGTGTTTTGGAAAATAGATTGACTCCCTCTTCTTTGTGGCAACCTCTCAAATATGGGAACACTGCTTTCATGTCACCCGTAGTCCTTCTCTTCGCTAAACTAGACCTACCCAATTCCAGCAACCGTTCTTCAAATGTTTTAGCCTTCAGTCTCCTGATCATCTTTGTCGCTCTTCTCTGTCCTCTTTCCAGAGTCTCAACATCTTTTTTATATTGTGCAGCCAAAAAAGAGAAAGAAAGAAAGAAAGAAAGAAAAAAAAAAGAAAGAAAAAAAGAAAGAAGCAGAAGGAAGGAAGGAAGCAGAAGGGAGGGAGGAAGAAAGAAAGAAAGAAAGAAAGGGAGGGAGGGAGAGAGAGAAAGAAAGAAAGAAAGAAAGAAAGAAAGAAAGAAGCAGAAGGAAGGAAGGAAGGAAGGAAGCAGGAGGGAGGGAGGGAGCAGAAGGGAGGAAGGAAGGAAGAAAGAAAGAAAAAGAAAGAAAGGAAAGAAAGAAAGAAGCAAAAGGAAGGAAGGAAGGAAGGAGAAGGGAGGGAGGGAGGAAGGAAAGATCATAAAAGGAAGGAAGGAAGGAAGGAAGGAAGGAAGGAAGGAAGGAAGGAAGGAAGGAAGGAAGGAAGGAAAGTCCTGTGGAACAGAAGAAAACCTTTCCACACCCCAGGCAGCTTTTACATCTCATGACTGAGCGTGTTTCTGACGCTGTAATGAAATATTGTTTTCCTAATATTCTGTGACCTGAATTTCTTCTTGCTTTATGGGAGCAAATCAGTATTTCCTCTAGTCAGCATTTGATGATGGATGTCAAAATACAGGCCATGTATAATGCATATCTAGCATTAGCGATTTAAGGTGTTTACCTGTCAAGCCGAAGAAATTCAAAAACTTTACGTTCGCTGAATTCACCCAGCTGTCACTTGCAGTTTTTCATAATTTCAAATGAAAGTTGTGATAAAACAGTTTAGGTTTCCTTGACTTTTCCTTTTTTTTTTTTNAAAAAAAAAAAAAAAAAAAGATTTCCAGAGAGTAATCTGTAAACTTATAAATGTGGCACAGTGTGATGGAATTTGCTTCTTCTGAACCCAATTAAAATGATTAGCTCTAGACAAAAGGCGTGTGCTTATAGCGAAATAATAAGAAAATACATCTGTCTGTGTAACCAATAGGAGACCATATTGGGAGCTCAGGGCTGAACACTGATGGCGTCACCTAGTTTGGTAATGAAACGTCGGTAAGAAAACCATAAAGAGCACCGAAGACCCCAGAGTCTTTTTTTTCCTTTTTCCTTTTTCTTTCTTTTTCTTTTCTTTTTGTTTTTTCTTTTCCTCCTCCTCCTCCTTGCAAACCCCACTCCCTTCTAGCACTGATGATGTTAGCTAGTTTGGTAATGAAACATCTGTAAGAAAACCACCAAGCTCAGAGAGTACCAAGGACCCCAAAGTCGTCTCCTCCTCCTCCTCCTCCTCCTCCTCCTCCTCCTCCTCCTCCTCTTCTTCTTCTTCTTCTTCTTCTTCTTCTTCTTCTTCTTCTTCTTCTTCTTCTTCTTCTTCTTCTTCTTCTTCTTCTTCTTCTTCTTCTTCTTCTTCTTCTTCTTCTTCTTCTTCTTCTTCTTCTTCTTCTCCTTCTCCTTCTCCTTCTCCTTCTCCTTCTCCTCCTCCTCCTCCTCCTCCTCCTCCTTGCAAACCCCACTCCCTTCTACCACTGATGATGTTAGCTAGTTTGGTAATGAAACATCTGTAAGAAGACCAAGGACCCCACTCCTGTATTTGTGTAAAGTTTCTTTTGTATCACAGACACCTCCATAGTGACATTCTTTTAGTAACCTTGTAGAATACCTTATAGAATACAATGTCACTTGACTTAGTCAAATACACCTATGGGATAATTAGGCCAACTGGCATCCTTTTTGGGGTTCCCTTGATTTAGCCCAAAACAGGATTAAATTAACTTCCCAATCAACTAACTTTGTGTGATGCAAACTCCTTACTAATGACTATTTCTGATAACCATGATTTATACAATGTTTAAACCGCACAGAAAGCAACTAGCTAGGCGGGAAGCTATTTTAACCCTAGATGGTAGCACTTGACCAATCTTGGCTTATCTTGCACAGCTAAGTGAGGTCAGACGTGGTTAATCCAAAATTGTAGATTATCCTTAGACATAGAAGAAGCATCCTGGGAAAAAAACAAAACAATTCCTTCCAATGTGGAAGTCAAGGCACAACACCTTTTTAAAGATATCTTCCGTCAATGTTTTCCTCTTGTTTGGATTGAGTTCCTGATTGCACATACCATGTTTCCCCGAAAATAAGACGAGGTCTTACATTAATTTTTGCTCCAAAAAGACACATTAGGTCATATTAGGTCATATTTTCAGGGAAATACGGTATGAAATGCATCTGTCTGGCTGACGATCTTAGCTGGGGCTTATTTTGGGGGTGGGGCTTATATTACGAGCATCTTGAAAAATCACTCTAGGGTTTATTTTTTGGTTGGGTCTTGTTTTCGGACTACTGCTACCCGATACAAAAAATACACATTTGTTAGCATTTCTTTCCTTGGAAACTTTGGAGGTTACTGTATATGGGGCAGGGGGATCTGAGTTGGCTGCAAATGGTTCAGATTCATCCTTATCCCAGATCTTTTAGACCAGGGGTAGGCAACCTTGTCTCTTTTATGACTCGTGGACTTCAACTCCCAGAATTCCTGAGCCAGCATGGCTCAGCTTGGAAACCTCTCCCTTTCCCCTCAGCATGGCTGGCTCAGGAATTCTGGGAGTTGAAGTCCACCAGTCATAAAAGAGCCAAGGTTGCCTACCCCTGGCCTAGAGTCTAGACCTTCTTCTTATTTCTTCTCATCCACAGGCCCACTAAGGACCATTTCAGTATGGATTCTTCCTAGTCTAATCTTGTTGTAATTAGAGTTACGAGTCATAGTGTAGTATCTTAGCATCTCAGCTTCTCTTTACTCTTGTCCCTACAGGGTTTTCGCCACCTGGAATGGACAGGTCATCACCTGACAAGAGTCCAGTGCACGGCCTTCTCCGTCAGCCCTCCATTACGACGGGAATCGACATCCCTATTATTACTGAGTTAGGTAAGCTCTCTTGGGATCCTTCTACCTGTTTTTCTTTTCATTTTTCCCAGCCTAAGGAGTGCTGCGTTCAAGTAAAGATGTAGTAGGGTTTTCTCCTGAAAGTTGTACGGTATGTGTGCGCATACCAACATCCATGTAAAACAAGCTCACCGACATACACATGAAGCCAATGAGGTAGTTCAGGGGTGTCAAACTGCCAGCCCGTAGGCCAGTTGCGCCACGTGGAGGCCACGCCCACCCCATCTCCACAAAGGCAAAAAACCATTGTGATATATTGTGATACACCACGTGTGACCCCCGTTTCGGTGCTCTTTAAGCATGGAAACCAACTGGATGACTCTGGACCAGTTGTTCTCTCTCAGCACAACAACATAACTGGTGTATGTAATCTTTAAAGAGATGGACTAAGAATAAGGAGATCAAAGTTCTAGGGTTCCTTGAGGCATGGAAGACAACTGGAAGAGTTGGGCCAGTCATACACTTTCCTGGAAGTCAAAAGAGTCCATCTCCCACCAGATCAGATAGGATAGTCCATAGCCTTCATGAAGAAACCTTCTTCCTGCAGTGGATTGATAATAATAATACACATGCATACATACAGAGGTGCACACACATACACACAATGATTAAGCAAGTTCTTTTTTTAAAGGACTATCTTAATTTTACTTCTTTTACTTGGTAATAATCTACGGTTATGACCCAGGTCATGTAGGCAGTTGCAGGCACCCATAAAGTCTTTCACGGCACTGCTATCCTGTGACAGATGGCCCTACAATGACCGGCAAAGCTTCACCCCAAACGTTCCCAAAGGCAGCCACCCCATTGTCCCACAAACTAGATCCAATAGTCGCCAGAGCCAATTCACAAGGCCAGGAGGAAGTTTGTAGCCTGTAAACAAGGTTCAAAGTCCACAAGGCCAGTTCCACAGTCCACAAACAAGGTTCAGAGTGCACAGGGCAGAAACACGATCTGACATCAAAGAAGCAGAGTTTACAGAGGCTGGGGAAGTGTGTGCCAAAGCAAAGAATTCTTCCCGATGAAGGCACCCTCCCCTGGTCTCTGGTTAAATCAGTCCAAGCCAGGTGTTTCTT